CCTGGCCCTCCTACTAGAAGATATTTACAGAAAGGGTTTTGGGACACAGCTGGTAGTTGGACGCAGTTGGTAGCTCAGTTTTAGAGTCCATCCATTGCACACACCTGGCTGGGCTGCTCCAGGTGTTGTGAGGATGCGTGTTCGGAGCAGGCCCTTACAGCCAAGGTCCCTGCTGGTCACTGCCACCACTTGGCCTCCAGGCTAAACCTGGATCTGTCTGAAGACCACACGTGACTTCCAGAGCTCTACTTTCCTAAGGTCTGCATTACGTCAGCTCCCATCGTAAAGGATCATCAGGGCACTTACACATCCCTCCTTCTCCCCTCGCAACAACAACAACGAAAAAAACACCAGAATCCAGAAAAAAGGAATATGAGAATAAAGAGATTTCATAAGAGAGAGAAGCTCAGACAAAATTTAACGGTAAAGCGTAACGTGCAATTCTTTTTTAAAGCTATTACAGAACTGCCATTTTCACTTGGGATTTTTGCAAGTCCCCGGCGTCTCTGCTGTGCAGGGCTGGAATGCAACACCCTTGTGGGAGAGGACGTCTCTGCCTCCCGACGCTCCTCATCCTCCTGCAGAGACTTCTTCCAGTTTGGCAGTTCACGACTAACCCTCTGCTCTAACAGTTACCTGGTTTGTTTACTTTTAGCTGCTGCTACCGCCACCTCCTCTTCCCAGAGCTGCTAAAATTAGCACTGCAAAAGCCTTAAGCAGCCTTGAACAAGAACCAGGGATCACTCCACGTAAGCTGTAGGATGCACGCGTGCCCACAGACGCTCCTGCAGCACCAGAGCGCTGATACCAGCTGTTATCAGGCCAGCTGCAAAACTGGCCTGCATAACCAGTCATAAACTGTAACACAAGAAGAACATTTCAGGCAAGGAGGCAGAAAACAGAAAGGTACCACCTATTGTTTTGTCTTTTAAATGCAAGAGTAGCAAGTTTGCGGGCTGTTTAGATACAAACAGATATCTGAATGCCAGCACTGGAAGGTAGCTGTCACACAGCCTGGTGTACAGGATAACAGCTCCGCACTTACTCGTGCAACTCCAACCAGTGACACACAACCCAGGAGAACAAGAAAAATGGACTATGCATAGGCTATGTTTTTTTTTAAATAAAAAAAATAAAGCTATTAACCTTCACATATCTATCGAGCTGTTCCAATCCAGGTTTTTAGACCAGCTCTTCACTGTAGATGAAATTCACCTGGCGTCTTAGACAACCTGCTTGTCTCCAGTGACTATTCGCCCTAGACCTCCTCTTTTCTTCAACAGTGGATGTTTTACTGAAAACACTATGGAGCCAAACCACCAAGCCCCAAAACTGAACGGAGTTTAGAGAAGACTAACAGTTTGCCATTCCCTTAGCCAGACACAGCTGTAAACGGATACCAATTACGTGGTTGCATTGTAGTGTATGTTTGCTATACATACTATGTAGCTTGGAGAAAATTCTCTGCTCCTTCAACCTACTATCTCTATTATAAAATGTACCTATAAATAAGAGGTATAGAAAAGGCAGAAAGTTAGAGGATCAGGATAATTAGAAAACTGCTAAGTTAAAAAGCAAATGTGGAACATGGAACAAGGACCTTTCATTACCACTTATCTTACAGTTTGTAATAAAGGCCAATGGAAAAGAAAAAGATTTAGCTAAAGGTGGCAAAATGATTGATTAGATGGTTTTCAAACTACAGCATGAAACTAAAGAAGGAAATCATTCACAAAAAAAAAAAAAGTATGCCACAAGTAGTCATTTTAACCCCATACAAAGGACTGGAAGCAAATTCGACAGCAATAGAAATGTTTGAGAACTGAATTCAACAGCAAGAGAAATGTTTGAGAACCACATACGTAAAAAAAAGTTCAAGCTAGAAATCAATTCTGGGATGTACTACTATTTCTGCTCCACATCAGATTACATTAGGAGATCCCAGAAGTCCCATCTAGTCTTAAAAAATAAAAATATTAACAATAGCATCCTCAGGGATGTAAGGAGTATATGGTAAGTTTGCACTGCACAGTTAAATAAAGAAGTCAAGTAAATCACTTAAAGCAACGAGGCAAGTCAAACAGAGCATCTGCTTTTACTCTATACTCCAGTCATGACGCTTCTTCCAGGGATCAGCAGATACATTCACTATCAAATCTAGCTGAGCACCTTCCTCACACAGAGAGAAAAAAGGATCAGCAGATACATTCACTATCAAATTTAGCTGAGCACCTTCCTCACACATCAAAGAAATATTGCAAAGGGATAGATGTGTCACAGAAAATTAATTCCAAATACTTGAGAATATGCTGAGGATAACACAAGTCTTAAATTATTAGTATTAGATTACAGATTCTAGTCAATAACTATATTATACTACCCTAAGAAAACACTTGACAAGTTTTGATCCCAGAAAAACAATCTTCATATTCTTAAATCCAAAAACAAACCATTACAATGACCATTTAGGGAAGTAACTGAGCAAGAACTGTAGTTTATTTATTACAGAGATTTTCTTCTTTAAAGGAAGTAAAGGAATGTTTGTCCTCCATTTTCACTGGGTGTGATTTCAACTATCCTGTTTTGCAAGTCAGTACCTCAGACCTGCCAAAATACAATTTCAAAAACCTTATGAATGCCTCCAGCTATGAGCAATACTTTCATACACATGAACACACACACACCTACATAATAATCAAGTAACTCTCGGTATCTACAAATACTCTTTGATTCTCTGCATTTTCCATTCTGTTAGAAAGATATTTTAAGATGCACTACTTGTTAGAAGAGCTGCCAAGGAAATGAACTGGTTGCCCCCTTAGTAGTTCCTTACTTCTTTCAATTACTACCAAACACACCCACTTCAGACACCATGAAGAATTAAATTAATTCCATGATAACACAGAGATGTCAACATTAAGATTTCAAATAAGCAGCTTCTGTCTTGTAGTGAAGTGCATACCGAGGAACTGCAGTGCAGAAATATATACGACTAAATCACCCAGTTTCCTTGGAAATGCTACTTCTAGAGAAAAGGCAGCCCGTGTGTTTTATGGATGCATCGAACACCTCAGAATTCAAGCGTCAACTATGCAGGTTTAGAGAACAGACTCTCAGCCTTATTTCAATGGCTCAAGCCATTCCGGTCCACAGAGCACTATTTTATACTTACGTAAAAAGTGTTTCTCCAACAAGGCTATTTCCAGGTGCCCTTTGATCTCATTCAGTCTGTCAGACTCCGTTCTGTTAAAATCCTGGACTCCTGAAGCCATGATGATGGTCCCTGGACCAGCCTACAAAAAAGTCAGAACACACTGACAGCTCAGAGGCATTTTTTATTTTTGAGTTTTATCATTTAAGTACATTGATTTACCTCTGTGGCTGCAAACACGGAGCAATTTGAAAAATGTGCAAGCACTGGCAACTCACCATGCCTCTCATTCAGCATTCAAGTACCAAAATGAAGCAACGAGAGCTAATCAAATCCACGGGAGCCGCCCTACAGGTTTACAAATGCACTTGAGGAGACCTCAGAGTTTAAAAAAAAAAAAAAAAAAAAAAAAAAAAACTGCTTACCATCCCACTGCATCATCATTTTCCCTTTCGCCTGCTGATTTAAAGGCAAATATCTACAGACCCTTTTGTCCCCCCTTCAACAGGCAATGCAACATTTCACACAGAATGAATCTAGTCAAAGAAAGTCATTTCCGTATTTCACTGACTTATGAAGAAACACATACTGTGTGTTTTAATACCAGTTTATAGAGTGCGTAACTCGGAAGATTGCAGGCTTAGAGGAAGCAAGCCAGCTCACACACCAGTCACTGCTCAGGTTGGTGCCCCAAAAATCATCCTGGAAGGCCAAGGTTGCAGGGGGGAGACGGGAACGTGCAGGTCTTGACTGACTTATTATTGCCACCAAGAGCACCCCCGAACGAGCTCGGCACTGGAAACATGGCAAATCCCAAGAAATGACGACCGGCACGGCTGGGCAAAACATGACAAGGGCAGCTCTTGGGAAGTGGCCATTTAGGTGCTGCATGTGGTCCCAACCAGGTAGGAAAGAACAGCCGGACAATGAGAAATCCTGGAGCTTTTACTCAAAACATAAGTGCTAGCTTACAAAACCTTACTTTGAGGAAACAATCTCATGGCAAAAAGGGTTTTTTGCCCTCGCTCCTGCTGCTTCCTCCCCTCCCCTTGCTTGATCTCTGAAAGCAAACAGGACCTGCATTGCTTTCAGAAGGCACCTTACATATATTTAAACATGACAGTTTAAATTACATACACACATAAACTGCACTAATTTACATGAGAGTTAATTAAAAGGCATTTTGACATTCTAGGAAGGATGCACAGAAAATTCACTGACAGCAAAGCACATCCACTGATGGAAAAAACTCCACACTTTTAAAAACAAAGCCACGTGGAAGTATCTATTAAACATCTGTTTTCTTATTAAAGCTGAATAACTGCTCAGTTTAAGCTTTCAAGCTTGCCCCTCCAGGCAAATCAGCCCCCAATAATCCTTATGTCCTGACTTACAGCCTGACACTTACCTGGCACCTCTCCCCGCCCGGGCTTGCTTAGTGCAGTGGGGAGAGGGGCCCCGCCAGTCCTTGCAGGATCTGCCTGTGTGTTTTCAGATGAGCAGGGGATGGCAGTTAACCTCAGACTTGGTTCTTGTCTATAAAGCTGGATCATGTTTTACCCCGCTGCAAGATTTGCTGTTGTTGCTTGGCAGATGCTCGGAGAAGCCGTGAGAGGCCGGTGCTGCAGACGCCCCGCGGCAGCACACGCTGCCCACGGGCCAAGGGCTATAAAAGCAGACGTGAAGCACAACGGGCCATCATCTGAGTGAGATTCACATAATAAATAGCTAAGCCCACAAGTCTGGGCTTATGCTGTGTCCTGCCCTGCTGCCAGGCTAGAGGCCATCTGCCCAGATACTCCAGTGTCCATTGGCTTCCCAGAGCCAATGCTCCTTTCCACATGGTGCTGTGCACAGTAGTGAGGACAGGGACGCCCAAGAGGGAGGACATGAAGGAAGGGCCAGTAAACATATAAGAACATTTAAGTTTTCATTCTCATTGAAGTTACTTCAAGGTATTTGACTGTAAGAGAGGTTACATTTCAGAAATGCATCGAGACAAATCAACTTGGCTTTCGCTTCTTCCTTGACATTAAACCATCAGTGGAGTAAAGCCCAGGATACCAGAATTGCTCATTTTATGAAGTGAAAAAGGCAAAGAGATACATAAAACTGAAGACATACCAATGTGACTCATTTTGAAAGTTTCCAAATGTGCATACCTGCTAGAGCATTACACTCAAGCAGTCTGACATTAGCTGTGTGCAGCTACAAACAGCCTGTGTCCATAACTGCACTAAGCTAGAGAGGTTACAGTGACCTTCTATGTTAGGCAAAAGAAAAAAAAATCCACTAAGTTAAACATTAGGCTGCTTCTTAGAATACTTTCCATTTATAACTAGGGTTAAAATAATGCAAGATTGTTTAATAGTAAAATGGTTAGAAAGATAAGGAATAAGGCAACCGCTTTGCTGAAGGTCAACTTTCTGCTTCTGAATGAAAAAAAAGCACTTTCGAAGTAAAGTCCTAAGTGGCTCAACTTGCATGCTACGAAAAAAAATGTTTTGCAGAAAACTCCAGCATTAAGCGAGTTGCCTCTGCTGTTCTGGAAGGATATTGCTGGCACTCACATTAGATTAACTAACCTGTACTATGGTTTCTGGCTTCTGTGTGACTCACAGGAAAAGCCTTAAAGGCTTCTATCGAATCCTGCTTCTTTACTCCCTTCTGCAGCTTTGATAATATTTGACTCAGGAGCCCTCTTAAAATGTTGACAATCACTATTACTTAGTGAAGAACACGCACAGGACTTGGCAAGGCCCAGGAAGGTAGCAAAATGCCAATGAGAGTTGCACATGAAGAGGCAGACACAGAGGGGTGAAAGAAGGATTTTTGATGATGACAGATTGCTGTAAACCAGTATCGAAGTTCAGAGTTCCTGCTTCAAGTCATATCCAGCTCCAGAGCTGGGGAAAAAAAAACCACATATCCACATGCAAATGTGTTTCTAAACCCTTCTACAGCTGGGGCTTTTCTCATGAGCTTCTCTCAAGCAAACAGGCTTCCTCCCCGCTTCCTGCAGGATCCTGTAAGGGCTGGAATTTTGTTCTTTGAACACTGAATATCGAACACGCTGTCACTGTATGGTCCTAGTAAAGATTTCATTTTCAGTTTGGTAATTAACCTATTAAAGAGCATCAGTTCTCAAATGCAGCAAATATTTTTTTACTAGTAGGGCTCTAATAAAAAAAAAAGTAAAAATGGTTATTTTAGTTGCTATTTGCCTAGCCCAGTGCTTTGTCAAACTAAATGAGAGTCTCCTTCAGACAGGGCCCTCCCCTCCAGCACACACTGGGCATGCCGATAGCACATCCTACCTTTTAGATTATCTTCTTCAGAAATCTACATCCTAAGAAATTAGGTCCACATCAAAAAACGTACATAAAATTAAGTGCTAGGCATGTTTAGATACTTAAATAGCTTAACTGCAATCTTAGTATAATGCTTTATACCTTCAAATGACTGTAAATGAGGTCACTGATACAGTACTGTTAAAGGCTTAAAATGACAAGTTTCGGGAAGAGCCAGGCTGTGCGGGAACATCAATTAATTTAGGTATCACAGTAACTCCGATTTAATCCTAGCATACGGGCAGGGAACTTACATAAATAGATCAGGCTGCTTGCAGTACAACATGCCAGGTACAAGAGAGCTTCAGTTTGCCGTTTGCATTGACAACTTAATACAGGATCTTCACGGGTTTAAACACAGATTTGTTCTTTTTCCCTTTCCCCAAAGGGACTTTGAGCCTTCTTTGTACAGACTTCATTCACGCTGCTCGTACACAGTACTGAACAGTTTCTCACTGTTCTAAAAACAAATCATTTCGCAAATTAGGCATAAATAACTTCATAAAACAAAATGACAAGACAATTTATGAGGAGGCAAGGCAAGCCAGCACCAGCAAGACTGATTTTCAGGGAAACCTCCTCCTCCAACACGTGGCATCTTCGCAAACCAAGCTGCAGAAGCAACGTTTTAAAGCATTTTAAAATATAGCCACACAGGAGAACTGTGATTTAACAGGACGCAATCTGCACTGCACCACCTGCAAAGGAAATCAGGAACACTGAACAGCGGGGACCTGATCTCCACGAACACCCACTGCCAATGTCGCAACGCGACGGACAGCGGCACCCGCTTTCCAGAGGGTGGAAATGAAGTGGCTACCCCTCTCCCCCGCTACTCTATTATGTTGGTTTGCCAAAATAATACAGAAATATCAGTAGTGCATGCAGTGCTGAATGCCCATACATTAAAAACGTATGACAAACTGGGAAGGAAGGGGAAAAAATAAATAAATTTGTGAAGCCATTCAGGAATTGAAAGAGATGCTTAGAGAAGCTGTCATTTGCTAACCAATTTCTTCAGGCAATGATATAAGTACTGTAGACAAGTACCTACAGAAATCTAAGAAAGTGTTACCTATCCAGAATCTACCCAAGAACCAATATACCCAATGCCAAGCAGCAAAGGATTTTTAATCAACGAACACTGTGTGCCTTGAGGAATACCAAGTGTCTCCCTATGTGTTTTTCATTCATATGACTATTCTGTGCAGTTTTAACAGGGCAAGATTTAAGGGGTCAATGGGTAATACACCAGACTAGAAATTAAGTATTTATTTATTTATTTATATGTAGACAAGAGAATGGCTGATAGCATCAAAGAGATCTATGAGTAAAGATGCAGGTCAGGAACCTGGTACACACATTTTCACCTGTTGGTGAAAGATGTGCAATCTAACTGGGATGTATGCACAAGACTGGACCATGCATTCATTTTGCAGGCTTTAAACAATTCCCAAAAGGGATTAAATGGAAAGAAACCAACAAGACTAAATTTTCCTCCTGATCCTTGACTATGCAACCATTTATGTGGTTTAGAGATCCTATAAAAGAAAGCCACTCCATATAAACAATTTAGATTTGAGTTTTAGTCACCAAGTTAAAACCAATTCAGGCATAGCTCAAAAATGTGATCTCAACACATATTTGAACACATTATTCTGAACCTCTCTGTTCATAGGAACTCTGCCACTATATCAATATTTACTCAAATACAGATATAAGTACATCTGTATGCACAAATACTGTCTTTACTCAAATACACGAGCATTACTTTCTTACTCCTGGCACCCTTGCAAAGTAGGGGATTTGTTTCTTTTCCCTTCATTCTACAGATGGGCAGCAGAACTTAGGGGGCCAGATGTCTGGCAGAGCTAAGTGCTAAGCCCCGAATTTCATACTTCAGGCCTCCTTCCTCAAACAAGTGTGTTCTAACATCTGTAACACAGCGGCTATTTCACCCTGTTCCAACAACCCACTGGCTTTGGAATTCCCCAATAGCACAAGCAGGGCAAAATAACAAGTTCAATGTCATTACTCTTTTTTTCCTTCTCTCAGATTTCGGAGAAATATAAACTAAATTAGATTCCAAAGAGTTCCATCAGGACAGCCTACTTTACATTATGCAACAGCCAGAAACAGTGCTTCTCTTCCTATTGCTTTCTGACCACACAGACCCAGCGGCTTAAGGGAAGTGAGCACAGCACAACCGCACAGGAATATGCAGCTTTATAATGAGCCAAAAACCTTAAGTTACCAGGCAATATGTTCAGCTACACTATCTCATAACTACTACCCTCCTGTAGAAAACAACATCTAGGCTTTTTAATCTCTCTATAGCCTCTAGCTCGGCCACCCACGCTGTTCCGACTAGATATGCAGGGCATTCCTCACTCTCCTCACATTAATATAATGCCACAAGTTTAATGAACAGAAGCCACTATTTATCTAGACAAACCTCAGAGAATACTGCAAGGCAATGGATGAACCACAGGCTAGATACTGGAGAGATCCATCTCCATAAATCTAGGGATACATATCTTCGGTGGAATTATAAGATCAAAGGAAAGGGATACAACAGAGCTTTGGCTAACAGGAGATTTCAGATACACTCAAAAAAGAGACCTTTTGCAACAGAAAAAAAAAATCTCTCATTACCACTGGCTTATTATGATCAAAAAAAAAAATCTGGCAAAAAGGTGCATTTAAGTTAGATCATATGTGATGCCATACAAGTCAGCTTGAGGTAAAAAAACAACAAAAAAAAGCCTTAGAGCTATGAAAAAGGGATACAAGTTGCCAGAATTCCCAGAGAAGATGCCTAAGAGTTGCACAGTTAATCTTTTACACTAACACCACCAAGGAATGGGCAAGTCCTGCCCTGCTAGAAACACTATCTTCAGATAACCGCATGACCATATCTGGGGTCAAAAACAGTACGGTGTGGTTCTAAAGAGTGATTGAAAATCTAAGTGGAAAGTCTAAAGAGCAAATTCTGGTTTCCAGGCCACTTTCTAAACACAGTTAAACTGTCCTGTTGTAACTAGTGAGTACCCAATAGCCAACATTGAAAGATCCACAGACATTCCTGAACAGTAAAGCCGAACCGTACCAATATTTACCATTTCCTGGAAGACTCCCCTTTAAAAAGGGGCAGTTCCACTCAGGTGCTTCTGCTAACAAGCACTAATAGCTGCTGGTTTTACTAAAACTACAGTTTTAGTAACTGCAGAGTCTTGTTCGGCCGCTGCACGGGCTCAGAGCAGCTCTGTAACAGAGGAGCACTCCTGGGCACATGCTGCAGTAAAGAACAAGGCAGTGTGACCCTCGAGGCTCTAATGATGGTATGAACAAATCCTGCTCCCCAAATGCTGCTATCTGCTACAGTTCTGGCCTGTGGCATCTGAGCACTTCTGAGTTCCTCCAACTAAAAAGCATCCAGAAGCCCCTCATTCACCTAACGAGCTAACGAGCGAGTGCTTGTCAGTAGCTGAACAAAACAAATAAAAGCAGATAGGAATCAGAATCCCAAACTCGGGTCAACTGACCCATCAACCTACAATGTCTAAAAGCAATAGCAGGGACAGGGAATCGTAACATTAAGGGATAATTTTGATCTTTCCACAAAATGGAAGCCTATTTACTAACTTTAGCACTAATCCATAAACCTGTGCCAAATCCAAATGTAAGGACCCTCAAAGACTTATAATTTTTGCTACTTTTCCCCCCTATGTAATATAATGCAACAAAAGTCAAAGCAAACCAAGTACTTACAGGGTCTCTTAGCTCTTCATTCTCTCGGGGTAATGTTCGAGGTATTTTCACTGGGATTTCATCTCCACATTCAGTGTCTGAAGCATTTGGAGACTCTGCTAAATCAAGGAACTCATCTCTCTTGTGACCTCTGAACCTTATTTTGTCCAGCCTCTTTAGCATGTTCAGCACTGAGCTTTTCTGCTTTACCTTAACATGACGGTTGGAGTCTCTGCAAGAAGCAAGACATTAACATACTTTAAAAAGCTTGCAATAACCCAAACCACACACATCCTAATCTCAAATCTGCTTTTAACCTTTTTTCAAGACCCTTTGTGCCACTCCCCCACTCCCCGTAATAAGTATTGCTTCTCTCTCACATCTCATGGTGATTTTTAAGTCAGAACAAGCACAAGCTAACAAGCCCATGCCCTTCAGAAAGAATAAAAAGTCAGTGTGTAACAGGTCACTTGAAACAAACACAAAAAAGTCCTGCTCATAAATCCACACTCTTCAACTTGCTGATACTTCTAGTTGGACACGAAAATACATTAATATCACAACTGATCATCAAATCCATTAAAAAAATCAGAGCAAAAGAACCACGAGGCTGTATTACCACCATGCTCCTTAAGACTTCACACATTGAAAGCAGCAAGAATTACTGAAGAAAGCCATCACACAGATTTAAACAGAAGAATCCATCAAAAATTTAAAAAGCTGCTGACATTCACCATAACTTATATTCAAATGTACAATCAAAAATCCTTAAAAATATCACTGCTAACAATCTTGAATATACAGAGAAGCAAGTTCACTGTATATAGGGGCAGCTTGTCACCACATTGCTCTGTATCCTTTACAGTGCAAAGGGGACCTTCAAAAGTGTCTGTTGTACCCGCACCTTTACTTAGCTTCTACAGGCCCTGGAATTTCTCCACTAATCCGTATCTTCTATAAGGCATTTAATATGCTCCATGGATCAGCTATTAAAGCTATCACGTTAAATCAGCAGGGCATCACCTTCGATAAGTCCAGACCACATTTAGAACAGAACTCAAAAAGGAAAACACTGAAGTCTTACAACAGTCCTGAGAATCAAGGCTTTCAGAGGCTCAGATGACTATTACTTCTTTCTTAAATACGGGTATACAACATTTGCTATCTTTAGGTCACATGGTACTGCTTGATAATTTAGATTTCAAAGAACTGGGACATTAAATTCTAAGTCTCACATATCAATAATTTTAAAGGAAAAGTTATTCAAGCCACATACAGACATAACCATTTCGAGAGTCCATTTGCCCAAATGGACTTTTGCTGCCGTAAAATTGTATTTTGAGATACTTGTTCCCATCCTCTTTTCCTCATGGTCCACATGCTCCCTCCTCTTGGTTAAAAGCGATGTTTTGTTTCATTACACACCATCCCAGGAACTGACGTGAGGTGGAAAAAGAAAAAGGAAAAAAGCCAAAACAGATCTAGACACAAGTCACGCCAGGCACATAAAAGCAAGGAAGAAGATTTTTGCCTTTGGCTCCGATAGCCTTTGCAAGATTGAAGGGAACAGCACTTCAGGCAATTCTCACTTCCCAGCATAAACCTCACCCCAGGAGAATTTTTCTTCTTTCCTTGTAGGTTCTCCCTAATGCTTCTGCAGTGACTATTCACACCAAGTTCCTTGAAATTCTGCCTTAGTTTGCACCTCGGCCAAGATTTATTAGCACCCTTCGCTTAAACATGGAAGACTGAAACTAATATGAACACCCTACAGTGCAGAAAGCAAAAAGAAAAAAATATATATAGAAAACAAAAGAGGAGGGTAGAGGTGGGAAAGAGCTCTCTCTTGTTTATCAGGGATCCTTAAAGCTGTAGTCCTGCATTTATCCTTTCACTTAGAGAGAGTCACTTGTGATAACTCACATCAAGGTTATTTTCTATGAACTGCTTCTTGTCAAAGTTCTATTACTTGTCAAAGCTGGGTTTAAAATGGAAACACTTCTTGCTCATTCATTGACTATTGGATGAAGAAACTTGTCAGCTATCACATCCAGGAATATCTCCAGGCCCTGCTATTAATAGCAGCTAGAGAACAAATGCTATCAGGGAAGTTTAAGCTTCTGATAAGCACTGGCACAGTTATCTTGTGCTGCCTCCAGTATCACGGATCTCTATCTGTGTTCAACCACTTTTACATACCAGGCCACTCAGATCTACAACAAAGCAGTTATGAACAAGGCCCACTTGGCTTTTGTGCTTTAGCATTTGTAGCATGGCTTAATGATATAGTTATATGAAAAATAATAAGGATGAACTAGTGTTGGGACAGCCTAGGGGGACAGGATGTCCTGGCTCTAGCCTTCCCCGGGACAGTTCACATATTTTAGACCTAATCACGGAATAATCTGGCCAACAGATGTAGCCCTGAGTTGCAAGCCTGGCTTTAAAATATTAAGAGTAATGCTGTCAGGTAGAGGCTAGCAAAAGAAATACCATCGTAGCCATCATTATAATCCTAGCCATCATTCTTCTTTTAAAGCATCACTGATTGGGCTGAACACTGAAAGAGGCAGCAAGGAACCACGTTCCTCAGTAGCAGTAAAGTACTGCGATGAGCAGTATTTGCTTATTTGCAATTTAAAACCTCTAAACACATTTTGTCTAAAAACTGCATGTACCAGGCTTCCAGTTCTGCAAGATTACTTACAATTACATGAGATATATTATCTAAGCAAAAAAACACGCTTGCCAACAAGCTCCTATAGGAGCTCATTTGGCCTCAAGTTGAATGAGTCTTCTAAAACTGGCTGTTTTTACGTTAGCATCTCATTCTGGCGCCCAACTACTGTTTAGTTAAGGCAACAAATATAGAAGCTCTTGCAACAGTTTCACCATTGCTATGAATAAAACTTCAAGACATTTTGTATTCCAAACCATTTCAGTCAAAATTAATAAGCTTGAGAAAGCAAACAAGTTTAAAAAAAAAAAAAAGATTTATTGAAAGACAGTAACTAAAAAAAAATCCCTTCTTCACACTCACAGCTACTTCATCCCGCCCCTCTCCCAGCAAAGCCATCCCCATTCCCCCACCTCAGCTACTGCTTTCATGCTGCTCCTAGTAACTACCAGCGAAAGCAGAAGTGACATGTGGCCACTTTTGTGTATGTCAAACTCGAAGTGAAACTCAGACCTGCTTCTCCCTCTCTAAAACTGATCATAAGTATAACTGTTCTAACTGTATGTTCCAAACACACACTCTCCCTTCCTGACTTGGTCAGACGCATTCCAATAATTCAAGGTGGTATCATACTTGTAATTAATTACTGTGAACAATTGTATTATCCATACAAACACTGTGCTATTAATGAAAGAATCTGGAGATGTTTTTTGCCATCTTCACTAATACCAAGTGAGGTAGAACACAACGCTGGGACAGCAACCAACTCTTCAAGCCTCATCTAAGTCAACCCAAATACACCTCAGCCTTATCTCCTAACGCTAGAAGATCCTATCATATAATAGGGATGATCTTATATTAACATGCTTACGGACAAGACTATTCAGGCACCCAAGTTTTAAGAGGCGGTTTGTATTGCTACCAAGGCAGTAGCTGAGACCAGATCAGCAAGGTTCAACAGCTCCCTGTCAAAGGTACAGTCATCTCTAAAGACCTTCATTCTAATTGCCCTTAGTATTTAGTTGTTAAAGAAAAATCTTTGAGGCTGAAGTTTTATGCCTTTTACAGAGAAGTTCTATGCTCTTACAAAGGGCCAGAGAAGAGATGACTTTATTTGGACCTCATAAAAACCCTCAACTCCAAAGTAACCATCAGAAACACAGTTTAAGGTCGCATAGCAAGACTCAAACCTGAAGATAACTGCGTGCACAAATTCCAAACGTCTCACAATGACAGAAATTTGGAATTTCCCTAACTTCTGCTTAAAAAAAAAAAATCGTAAGCAGATTTCAAACAGCTTTTCCTGGTTGTGTTTACAGGGAGACTTCTTGCAAGGGGACAGCCAGCTGTTGGGAATGACAAGAGCCACCTGCCAGACACAGCCTGGGAGAGGATCCACTACGGGGCTGTCACTGTGGAGACCCCCTAGCCCATCGGATTTATTCCCTCCACTACACATCAGGGATTAATTTCATCATAGGTCAAAAATTCCACACAAGGCCTGCACAAAACTGCCTTCAAAGCACACAAGTTTCTTTTACTAGCAGTATTTTAGGAAGGTGAAGATGACTTTAGAGATGACGAAAATCTAGCGCACCCTTACTTCTCATCTTTACATCCCATTTTCCTTCACATTTTCCTCTTAATCTTAAAACATCTTTCTGCAGAACTCTACAGTAAGAGTTCTGATATTCAAAAATAGCAAGATTGTGGCCATATGAACATATCCAGCCGCTGTCAACACCAGCAGCACTTCAGTCTCTTGTCACGAGGGAGTGACACACAAAGTGACAAGGCCATGGAAAGCATGGGGGTTACAGTAAGTATTTATTACTCCTTCAGTGAAATGCTCCTGCCTATTACTTTGAAAGGACTGATGTGACAGGCAGAATACAAGATATTCAGTTCATCAACATATTGGCTGATATTTATGTTCTGAAAATAAAGTTTGATTTTTTTTTTTCTTCTGGCGGAGGAGGGATATGTCTAAATAAAACTGAGTCCTCTGATGAGTACATCTAAGCCTACGAGAGATTCAAGGCCAGCTCTATACAAGTGATATGCACAAAAGGTTTCCTCCTGCTACTCTAATTTTTTCCCCACTTTCTCTTTTTAATAGACAGAATCATCTCGAGTCACTGTCGGAACATTTTGTACTTATTAATATTGTAAAACCTTTAACCAGATAAAGATCAATTGACTGCTCCTCACAGCTCCTGGTCTGCTCACTTTTTTTCTGCCAGGCACTCAGTCAGTGCTCCCATTTTCTTGAAGGGTTACAGATATAAAAATAAATAAATAAAAACATATACACCACACACAAATCTCGTTTGCACCTTCTCTCCTCAAACAACAGGAAGTGGCTTTTGTGCAAATTAAGTTGATATCTTGCAGCCAGTTGGACTGGACAGGCCTAGGGCAGCTCACGCACATTTCCCCAGAAGTTGCAAGCGTTGCACAACTGCCCTCTGTTTCTGCCACTAATAGACACGCAGGACTTGACCTTCAGAGCCGAGCTCTCCCTGCGCTCAGGCTGTCACAGACCCATCCTGAAAT